GGATTTATTCCAGAGATGCAAGGGTGGTTCAACATACGAAAGTCAGTGAATGTAATACATTATATTAACAAAGTCAAGGACAAAAACCATATGATCCTCTCAATAGATGCAGAAAAAGCATTTGATAAAATTCAACACCCATTCATGATAAAAACCCTGCAAAAAATTGGAATAGATGGTCTATACCTCAATTTAATAAAGGCTATTTATGAAAAACCATCAGCCAACATCATATTGAATGGCCAAAAACTGAAAACCTTCATGTTAAAATCAGGAACAAGACAAGGATGCCCACTATCGCCACTTCTCTTCAATATAGTTCTGGAAACATTAGCCACAGCAATTAGACAAGAGAAAGAAATTAAAGCAATAAAGATAGGAAAGGAAGAAGTTAAACTATCATTATTTGCTGATGATATGATACTCTACATTGAAGATCCAAAAAACTCCACCAAAAAACTTCTAGACTTAATTGACAGATTCAGTAAAGTATCTGGATACAAGGTGAATACCCAAAAATCAATAGCCTTTCTATACACAAATAACAGACAGACAGAAAGAGAAATAAGGGAAAAAATTCCTTTTACAATAGCATTCAAAAAATGAAGTATCTAGGAATCAATCTAACAAAAGAAGCAAAAGATCTCTACACTGAAAACTACAGCACTCTGAAAAAAGAAATGGAAGAGGATATAAAAAAATGGAAAGATATCCCCTGCTCCTAGGTAGGAAGAATCAACATAGTGAAAATGGCCATACTACCAAAACTGCTATATACATTCAATGCAATGCCAATTGAAATTCCAACACAATATTTCACAGAAATAGAAAAAAGAATCCAAAAATTCATTTGGAACCATAAGAGACCTAGAATAGCAAAAGCCATTTTAGGCAACAGACACATGGCACCAGGTATAACAATTCCCAATTTGAAACTATACTACAAAGCCACAGTGATAAAAACAGCATGGTACTGGCAAAGAAATAGGCCTGAGGATCAGTGGAACACACTGGAAGACACAAAAAGAAACCCAGATGTACTCAGCTAGCTCATCTTTGACAAAGGAGCTGACCATCCTTAGTGGAGGAAAGATAGCCTCTTTAATAAATGGTGTTGGATAAACTGGATGTCAACCTGCCACAGATTAAAATTAGACCCTTATCTTTCGCCGTGCACTAAATTAAAATCCAAATGGATTAAAGATCTAAATATTAAAACAGAAACATTAAATCTGCTGGAAGGTAAGTTAGGTAGAACTCTGGAAGACATTGGTATAGTAAAAGACTTTATGAACAAATCCTCAGTAGCACGGGAACTAGCAGAAAGAATCAACAACTGGGATCTCATCTTACTAAAAGCTTCTGTACTTCAAAGGAAACCATCAGCAGAACTAAGAGACAATCTAAAATGTGGGAAAAAATTTTTACCAGCTGTACCTCAGACAAAGGACTATTATCAAGGATATATAAAGAACTCAAAACAATCAGCCCCCCCAAATATAAAGAACCGATTCAAAAATGGGCATCCAAAATGAACAGACATTTCTCAGACAAAGAAGTAAAAGCAGCAAGTAAATATATGAAAAATGCTCCACATCACTGGTCATTCGAGAGATGCAGATGAAAACAACACTGAGATTCCACCTCACCCGACAAAGAATGGCTGCTATCAAGAAATCACAATAACAAATGTTGGCGGGGTTGTGCGGCAAAAGAAACCCTTCTCCATTGTTGGTGGGAGTGCAGACTAGTGCAACCACTATGGAAATCGATATGGGGATACCTCAAAGAGCTTGGACTGTAGGTTCCATGTGCACCCATGTTTATAGCGGCACAGTTTGTAATAGCTAAATCTTGGAAACAGCCCATTTGCCCATCCATTGGAAACTGGAGAAAGAAGATGTGGTTTTTCTATAAAATGGAATATTATTCAGTCATAAAGAATGAAAAAATAGATTCATTCATAGGAAAATGGAATGAAGATATACTCCTAACTGAAATAAATAAATCACACATGTGTTAATACCGTATACTTTCCCTGGTTTGAATAATCTGCAATAAAACATAAGATCCTAATAAGATTACTGTCATTTAGAAATGAGAAGAAAGGAGCTAAAGGTGTAGGGAAGGTGGGATGGGTAGGGGAAAGGTAATAAGGGAAAAGAAAAAAATGTGAGATAATGAAAAGATGGAAATAAAGTGTTTTTAGATGGGGAGGGGAGGAGGGGGTGAAGGGAGGGCAGGGGTAAGGGGAAAAATGAGAATCAAGACTTGTCATGTAGAGGTACAAGATTCCAACAATGAATGTAACTGTACTGTATCCCTAAAATGTACCAATAAACTCAATTAAAGCTGAAAAAAAGCAAAAAATATCAATCATACACTTTGACCCTTATTTACACTTTTAGTTTTTCATACTGGAGACTCTATATGGTATTTACATGTGTCCTATTGACTTCACTTAAGATTATGTTCTCAGTGTGCATCCATTTAGCTATAAATGTCTCTAGTTTGTCACTCTGTATGGCTTAGTAGTACTCCCTTTTATAAAAAAAGAGGTTTGTAAATGGAAAATAACAAGTTTAAATCAAGTTGTTCTTGTAATTACTCCTATGCATTATATTATCATTGGATGTCTGGAGATAGAATTTTTAATATATAACTGCAAGAATTACATAGCAGTAGTGTCACCTATGTATCTTCAAGTTCGAAAAGATCTAATATAACATTTCAGCAGAGGTAGAAAATTTGTACAAGGGATAGGAAAATATTTTGTAAAAATATGAATTTCAGCCTTTAATATTGTTCTCCCAATCTTGCTAGGAGTCTTTTCCTGATATCAGAATGATGGCTGCAGGTCATTCTTGAGCTAATGGAGGGCAGATCAGTTACCTAAGCACTGTATAATCCACACTTGCATAATAATGTATTCAAATGATACTTGCTTCTACTCATCTGGTAAGCCAGTGAGAATAAGGAATATTCTATTTAAGCTGTCATTTTTTTTACTATTTATGAGTAGCATAGTTCTTTTTAAAAATAAGGTGGAAATGGTGGCCCACTCCTATAATTCTTGAACCCTGGGAAGCTGAGGCAGAAAGATTATTAAGTAAGAATGCATCTTGGGAAGTGTAAAAACTCAGCAAGGCACTGACACAAAACTTTTTTAAAATTTATAACAATATACGGCTGGAGATGCAGGTCAGTGAGAAGATGTTAGATTCAATTTCCAGTGCCTAATAATAATAATAATAATAATAATTTGTTTATCACAAGGAAAGTAAGGTAATATACTTCTTCAGATTTTTTTGTATATTTTCATTTGTAGATTTGAAATGCATTATCTTTATTAATTTGCACACTTTTATTTACTTATAAATGTAGTTCGCATAAAGTAGAACTTTTTGCATGTTTATGCACAATTGATTATCTCCATTTCAGCTCACCCCAGAAGGAATGACTGCTATCATGATCTATGAATAACAAATGCTGGCAGTGCTGTGGGGAAAGAGGAACCCTGCTCCACTGCTGGTGGAACTGTAGACTGGTACAACCACTGTGGAAATCAATATGGAGATATCTCAAAGACCTAGGATTGGAAGTTTGATTTGACCCAGCTCTTTCCCTGCTCAGTATCTTCCCAAAATAATTAAAAGAATCATACCACAGAGATACATGAGCACCTATGTTAATGGCTGCACAGTTTGTAATAGCAAAAACTTGGAAACAGCCCCATTGCCCATCAACTGGAGACTGGATAAGGAAAATGTGTGTGTGTGTGTGTGTGTGTGTGTGTGTGTTTTAAAGAAAATGGAGTACTATTCAGCATAAAAATGAGAAATTAGAGACTTTTATAGCTAAGTTGATGCACATTGAAGCAATACTCTTAAGTGAAATTAATAGGACACACGTGCAAATATGGAATAGTTTCTTTGGTGTGAGAAACTATAAATAAGTATAAATAAGGTCTAAAAAGTTAATAGATAATGTGAAATAGTAGGAAAAGGGTCAAAGGAGAAGAAAAAGTGTTTGAGGTAGGGGAAAGGAAAGAAGGGAATGGAATTAATGTGAAAAAATGAAAAAATGGAAACAAAGTATTTAAATAGGGAGGGGCGGAGGGGTTGAAGGGAGGGCAGGAGAATGGGGAAAAGAATAAGAACCCAGATAGATTATGCAAAGGTGTGAATTCCCAATGATGAGTGTCATTATATTGTATACTTAAAATGTACCAATAAAATTAATAGTAAAAAATAATTATCTCCAGGTACATAGACACTGAGACACTCAGGCAGCATAAACAAAGGCTTTAATAGATAATGTGAAATAGTAGGAAAAGGGTCAAAGGAGAAGAAAAAGTGTTTGAGGTAGGGGAAAGGAAAGAAGGGAATGGAATTAATGTGAAAAAATGAGAAAATGGAAACAAAGTATTTAAATAGGGAGGGGCGGAGGGGTTGAAGGGAGGGCAGGGGAATGGGGGAAAAGAATAAGAACCAAGGTAGATTATGCAAAGGTGCGAATTCCCAATGATGAGTGTCATTATATTGTATACTTACAATGTACCAATAAAATTAATAGTAAAAAGTAATTATCTCCAGGTACATAGACACTGAGACACTCAGGCAGCATAAACAAAGGTACATATGTATATTAGAGGAGATATGGCCTACAGAATCAGTGTTAGAGAGAAGAGTACACAACGCAGACAATAATGAAAAGTGTGTCTGTTTCATAAAGCTTCAGAAATCACCATTACTGAAGTCTTCTGTAACAGGCATGGCCTTCAGCAATGAATGTAACATTCCAAGACTGAACTAACACCTCTAATATTTTCAGAATCCTTAGAGCAAGAATTTCTGAGGGAAAGTTGATTAGATCAAAATAGTTCTTGAGGAGAGAGTTCACAGTAGACTTTGAAAACTGAATTTAAAAGATTTGTAAAACATTTAAAAATTGATTTCCAAGAATAGTCCATCTTATCTTAGATATCTTGGATTGTACCTTTAAGGACTCTTCCTGAAACACAAAACCTTGTCAAAAAGTCTCCTCATTGCCATCTTCATCTCCTTATTTCTAAATGTATAGATGATAGGATTCAAAAAAGGTGTGATAATTACATAAAAAATAGCTAAAAATTTATCTATAGATAAATTAGGAAAGGGCCACACATAGACAATAATGCAAGGACCAAAGAAGAAAACTACCACTGTGATGTGAGCTGAGAGAGTGGAGAGTGCCTTGGCCAAGCCACCTGAAGAGTGTTTCCGAACTGTGACCAATATGAAGATGTAGGACACAATCAAGATGAAGAAGGTGCCCATGGAGATGAAACCACTGTTAGCCATGATCAGGAACTGTAGGCTATAGGTGTCTATACATGCAAGTTTGATGAACCGAGGAAAATCGCAATAGAAGCTGTCCATCTTGTTGGCTCCACAGAAGGGTAAATTTACAACAAAAGCCAGCTGGACTACAGAGTGGATGAGTCCAATGGTCCAAAACAGCCAGG